TGTGGTGATGCTACCTCAGGACTTCTTGTTACGGGGAATAATAAATGCAGCTATTCTTCAAAGCTGCTTTTATTTGGGTTTGCATTTCCTTGCAACCAAGAGCACCACACCTAATACACATGTCAACAAAGAAAATAGATGTAGGAGTGGAAAGGATTTTGCTACAGTTTATTTCAACTTGGGTGGTGTCTAAAAGGGACTGACTGAGAGAAAGGAGAGATTAAGGGTTGGTCCCATAAATATGTATCCATAACAATTCTAAAAAGTTTTAAAAAGTTATGATAAGGTAACTATAGCTAACAATAATTTATTGTGTATTTCAAAATAGCTAGAAGAGTTGATTTGAAATGTTCTTAACATAAAAAAATGATAAATACTTGAGGTGATGGCTATCTCAAGGGCCAGATTTGATTATTACACATTGTATACTTGTATCAAAATATCAATGTACTCTATAAATTGATACATAGAGATACATAATTGTATATTATTATAATAAATATTAGTATGTACAATTATTATGTATCCATAAACATATAAAATTAACAAATTCGAAAAAGAGTTGATATATGTGTGTGTGTAAAAGCACAAAGCTAAGGGAAACTCACAGTGAATGTGTACATGTATGTCATGGTGGGAGGAAGAGGGTCATATGGAGGTTTATTTAGGAGCAAGATTAAAATATTAAAGTCCATGTTCAGTGCTACCTTCATATAAATTAGTAAAATCTAGATATTGTTTTAAGCAGCAAACGTTTCTTGAGTGCCTCAAGTTTGTGAGGTTTAGATAATAATACCCTATTTCCTAACATTTTAACTCACCTCATCCAAACCAGTGCTTTCTAACATGAAATTTGATTTTACTCTCAATAGATAAAGAAAATAGTTTTTATTCTCCATTTAGGTCAAAAGCAATTTTGGCAGCAGTTCACACACCGCTCAGGGCACCAAAAATAACTAGAAGCATATCTTTGTGAATGTCTTTTTTTGGGGCGGGGGTGGGGGGAAGCTGTTTCTTTCTCTGGTATTTTTCTTCTCCGTTTTTGAATTTTCTTTCTTTTAAACAAATTTTGCAGTTTTTGCTTTATTTTTTTTTACCACGTCTCTCTGCTTTGACAGTGCTTGACAGTTTGAAAACCTTGGTATTCTTACATTCCTCTCTGAGATGACAGTAATGTCTCAATAATTCATATTAATGGGGTTGGGGGGGGTTGGAGTCCCTGGAGGAGCAGGAAAGCAGTTTGGTAAAGTACAGGAAGCCCTGGACCTGAGTTTGGGAGACGTGGTTTTTCATGTAGGATTTTATCACTAACTGACTGGATGACCTTGGGCAAATCACAACTTCTCACAGTCTTCAGGCCCTTATCTCTAACAAGGAGGATTTGACCAATATGTTCTCTAGGCATTAACATTCTACGACGTTTCTAAAAACCAGCTTTGTATAAAAAGTGAGATTTGTACTTGCGTTTGGAAATATGGGTCTTTGGTGATAATAAACACTGGATTTAAAAGGTATTTTGTATTCTGCAACTTCGTGGCTACTTGAGCTTTATAAATGAGGCCTGGGATTTGGGACCAGCATTTCTCAGGTTGTCATCAATCAAACACTGGAAACGTTTCCAGAGAGGAGTTGCCTCTTCAGGAAATGAGGAGAAGGATAGTAACAGTCCTTGACTTGTGCTCTTTTTTTCCTGGTAGTTAAAAAAAACAGAACATTGAAATCTACCCTAGTAGCAAAATTTTAAGTGTACAGTATAATATTGTTAACTATAGGCATGTGGTTGTATAGCAGATCTCTAGAATGTTTTCATCTTGCATAACCAAAACGTTCTCTCCATTGCACAGCAATTCCCCATTTCTCCTCCCCGTCAGCCCCTGGAAACCACCATTCTACTTTATGCTTTTGTGAGTTCGACTATTTTAGATACCTCAGATAAGTGAACCATGTAGTATTTATTCTTCCGTGATGGGCTTGTTTCACTTAGAGTAGTGTCCTCAAAGTTCATCAGTGAACTTTGACAGGATCTCCTTTTTTTTTAAGGCTGAATAATATTCCTTGACTTGTGTTCTAAATAGAATTTTTCTGAGTTTGATACAAATAAAGTTAAAATTCATGTGTTTTGTCTCAACACCCTCTGCTGCTCTGAATTCATGGTGCCCTCACCAATGCAAAAACTCTTTGGGCAGATTTGCTTAGCACCCACTAGCATCTAAAGATGGTTCTCTTTATCTTTGGATGTGTTCTCAATATTGTTTGATTATTCTTTATGATTTTAACTTAGAGTTAAGCTTATATACAACAGAGGTCTTTGTCTGCAAACTTTTTTGTTTTTTAATTGAAAGGTCATGCTATTTTGGAACAATCTAGATTCTTGTCTTGACTTGGTGCAGCTTTGGGCAAGTCTCTCCCATTTTGAGCCTAGTTTTCTCATCTGTAGAATGGAGACATTAGACTAGTTCTCAACAAGGGCAATTTTACTTTTCAGTAGACCTTTGGCGATGTCTGAACACATTTTTGGTTTTCCTAGCTAGGGAGGGTGTGACTGGCATCGAATGGGGAGAAGCCAGGGTTCCTGCAGAACATCATACCATGCATAGAAAAGTCCCTTCCCCAACCTCCAAGTTCCCCACAGAATTTTCTGGACCTAATGTCGGTAGTGGTGAGGTTGAGAAATCCTAGATTTCTAAGTTTTCTACCATCTATAAAATGCCACAACTCCTCCCCTATCATCAGTTTTGCTCTTCACCCTCTCCTGGGCTTGGGCCTAAGATAAAAGTGTAAAGAGCTTATTCAGTTTCTTCCTTGTCCTTCTGTAGTTTGTTCTTCCCAAGGTCATTCTTTGTCCCCTTCTTTCCCTGTCTCGTCATGATCTGGGACAAGTTTAAGAGGCATATATGTTTTAACAAGGCTTAAATTCTGAATGGCGTCTGGCTGGTTTGAAGGAGAAAGACATTTAATCAGCCTAGGCCGTCGCCGCCAGACTGCTTTCATCTCGTTTTGAGTCCATGTGAGAACACTTCCCTGCCAGTTATGTAAGCTGGGGACTGGGGAAGGGTGGACTACAGCTCAGTATTAAAATAAGATGATGCTTAGTTTTTAGTTTAACTTTTGAGCCACTGTCAGATTTTGTTTCTTATTCTTTCCTATCCCAACAGTCTCCATCTTGTACAGAAGTTTCATGAGCAAAAGTAACATAGCAGCATAACCGCTCAGGTAGGTTTTGGTCCCAGAGAAACAAAAGCATAACATTTCTAATATATACCTCGCATTTAAGACACAATCTTTAATCATTATTGTCTTACGTGTCTATGCTAGAAATATACCTAGTATCCAAACAGGAAAGACAGAACCTAGGTGTTAACTCTGATAACCTTCTTTCATCTCTCATGCCTAATCCATATCCAAATCCTGTCAATTTTGCCTCTGGAATATTCTGTGGATTTACCCCTTAACCCAACCTCTGTCAATGACTGCAGTTCAAGTCGCTGTCACCTGGTCCAGGACCACTGTCACGCACACTTAACCACTCCAATTCCATCTCCGCTGGTTTCCTCCACCCTGCTCTTCACATTGAAATACAATATGAGTCACTGTCTCAAAACACAAAATAGATCACATGAGGCCCTAGGATAAAACTCTTCAGTGGCTTTTCACTCTGCTGCAGATAAAGGCAAAACTGCTTTACATGGTCTGTAGGATCTGCCGCCCTCCCCCCATCCCATCCCCCTGTCCTCCTACCCACTCAACTTCTCCAAATACATCTCCTCCCACCTGTTCCTCATTTTTTCTACTCCAGCGACAGTAGCATCTTTCATTCCCTGGAACTTTTCGAATTCCTTCCTACCACAGTGCCTTTGCACAGACCTTTTCTCTAGCCTGGATGATCTTGCCTTCCTTACTCCTACCTCTTTATCTTAGGCTGTGTTCTCCCAGAAGCAGACTTTGAGACTGGAGCAGACTTTGAGACGAAAGGTGATCCAGAAAGCACTGTTAAGGGTGTAGGGACAGGGAGTCGGGAAAAAGGGGAAGCCAGCACAGGTGTAGTAATGAGCAGACTCCTGGAGAGGGCAGGTGAAGCTGAGACTCACGAAGGACCTCTGGGAGATGGCACAGAACAAGCTTCAGAGTTGTCCATCCTGAGGGGTGTGAAGGTGAGGTATTTGTACTCTATTTCCTATTGACTATGGGTGATGACTACTCCTGGGATTGCCAACTTCCTGGTACTTCTGACCTGTCCTGTGCATGGGCTGAGGCCACTCTGAAAGCACTTGAACAAAAAGTCACATGTGTTTGCAGTAAGATGCTATTGTACTGCCCAGAAATGTGGTGACAGGGGAACTGAGCAGGGCACTGGTAGCATCTGCTTCACCACACACCCCTTCATCTAATAGTTAATTGCTACCCATTCTCAGATCTTAGTCCAGCACCTCTTCCAGGAAGCCTCCCAGACTTCTCTGAGGCAGTCAGTACCCTCATAATCAGCACACCTGGCACCATGGTCGTTTCCTTTGCAGCATTTGCCATAGTGTGATTATTTCATTAATATTTGTGTCTAGCACTGGACTGCAGACAACCTGAGGCAGGGGCTGTGTCTGTGTTTACTCACCTGTGTCTTTACAGCCACCATGGTGTCCAGCTCTGGCTTTGTGGCATGTAGGAAGGATGCTTTTTAGTTTTATTCTTTCTTTCCCCTAATGGGACATACGGTTTTTCTCTTAGTCACCATTTTAAGCACACCTAACAGTTCTCATCTTTGTTTGGATTATATTCTATTTCTACACAAGGATTAGAACTTTGTCTTAATCAAATCATTAGAAAAATTATAAAGGTTAAAAATATCCTAACAAGAGCTGAAACATTGCTGTGTATACACAGACTGAAGTGTTCAGAGATAGAACTGTGGACTGGCAGGCAGTGTGATTCTATCATGGCTCAGAGTCGCATGAAAGGTGATTTTGGCCTATCTCTAAGGTGGAAGGACACTTGATTTCTTTTTTTTTTTTAATATGAAACGCTTCACGAATTTGCATGTCATCCTTGCGCAGGGGCCACGCTAATCTTCTCTGTATCATTCCAATTTTAGTGTATGTGCTGCCGAAGCAAGCACAGAAGCGTGATTTCTTTTCGAAACAGAATTTTGCTTGTCACCCAGGCTGGAATGCGATGGTGTGATCTCGGCTCCCTGCAACCTTTGCCTCCTGGGTTCAAGTGATTCTCCTGCCTCAGTCTCCCGAGTAACTAGGATTATAGGTGCTCACCACCATGCTCAGCTAATTTTTGTATTTTTAGTAGAGATGGGGTTTCACCATGTTGGCCAGGCCAGTCTTGAACTCCTGACATCAGGTGATCCATCCACCTTGGCCTTCCAAAGTGCTGGGATTACAGGCATGAGCCACCGTGCCAGGCCAAGAAATGTGATTTGTATAAAAGTCTAATGAATGAAAGCTAAGGACTGTGCCATGTACTCACTGTTCTCTTCTGTGAATCAGAATAGAGCCAACCCATAACAGCTTGATAGTGTAATCTATCTTTTTTAGAGAAAAGCTTCTGATGCTGTAAAGATAGGGTGTAATTCTTGGGAGTATATTAGTCAGAACTCCAACACAGACTACTCTAACGGGAAAAACAGGATGCAAGACATGGGATAGATGGGACGGGAGGGGGTCAGGGTTAGAAGAAATATGATTGATTCTCTTTCCTTCTCATTCTCTCCCCTTTCTTACTCTCATCTTCTCCTCTCCACCTCTTTGATTCTTTCTGGCTTTCCACATTTTCTTCTACTATGGATAGGCTGCTTTCATTGTAGGAAAAGATGAACACTGGCATTCCCAAGATATGTATTCTAGGAGCCTCAGTAGCAAGGAACAGTATCTTTCTCCCAGTATCCATACACTGGGGAATTGATTGGTTCTGCCTGAGTCATCTACCTGTTCCTTGGACCAAACTCTGAGGTGAGTGATAGGGAATAGCATGATTACCCAGTAGGGATGGCTGCACCCCTGTGGTAGTGATAGAGAGTGGGATACTTTGATTGGCAACCCCATCAGAACCACATGGAAGGAAGAAAGAAGGCTGCTACTACTGAAATAAGGAGAAAATGCTAGGCACAAGAAAACAACAGCTATCCCTAGAAAAAGAAACTGATTAGCTTTTTAATTCATTAATTCATTCAGACATAGTTATTTGTTCAAAAAAACTATCGAGTCTCTGTTATGACCCAATACCTCCAGTCATAGAAATAAAAGATAATTTCTGTCCTTCAGTAACTCAGTATAGTGGAGGAGATAGACAAGTAGACAATTATAGTAGGAATCAGCTTTTAAGGTCTTATTTTATTAGAATAACCCAACTGCAGGAACTTTAAAATAGAATTCTTTAGGTATTTCCAAAGAAGCTGGGAGCTACCATGAAAATAAGAATCGTCTTCATTCCTTCTGATTCTAGCCACAACAAAGCTAATTAGCTGTCCTTCTGCCCTTCTGGTAAAGTCTGGGTAGGAGATGTGGGGGAATGGGGAGAAGACAGCTCAAAGAGATGTTAAACATCTACTCAGACAAAGCTTCCCTCTGGTGATGGAAGATTATGGAAATTCCAAGGATTCTCTGATTAAGAAAAGCTCTTAATCAACTCTTATGTCCTAGACTGCAGGAATAAACTGCTACGTCCAGAGGTTCAAGAAGCAATCATTCCTGATTTGTTGGGAGAATTTATTAGCAAAATTTGACAATGTACTATGCTTACCAACCACCAAGCATTTATAATGCTCCAATTGTTTGATTGATCTTGCTTCTTAAATGGTGTTCTCAACCAAGTGCCCTCCTATAGAACTTCAATGGCCTTGGTCAATGTTCCATGGAGACATCATCTTCTGGAATTCATATTCAATTCAGAAATTTTCCTGGGCCCACCTGCTTGAGAGATGAAAATCAAAGGATATGGATTATAATAACACTAACCAAAGGCAATCACAGCTGAGCAAGCTTATTTCCTACTGAAAAACAAAAGTGACTTAGACTGAAGTTGACCTGAGTAGTTTGTTTAGTAATACAGGACCATTTTCTTTAAGGTCAATCCTTTAACTATTTTACTGTTGCCTAACCCATGCACAGACCTCCCCAAGCATATGTTTCAAGCACTCTGCTTGCTATAGCCTTCAACAGTCTAGGTCTGAGAACTTTCCCTGTAGGAAGAGAAAGGGCTATAACTCACAGAAGTCTGAGATTTTTTGAGTAGAGGAGGCTTTTATCAGTTTTGGAGCAGGCCTTTTAATAACATAACCTACACTCTGACATGAGGTAGCCACACCCATCTCCTTAAGCCTTCTAAAGCAGGTCATTCCTCAGAGCAGTTTCAAGTAACGTCAGTGGCAGGAAGAAAAACTACCCAAATCTAACAGAAATAACTCTCTTAATTGACTTAACTAAAAAAGGCTAGCTTAGATAAGAAAGATGAAAATCTCTAAGTTACCAAATCTCTAGCTGAAGTAATAGCAAACCTGCTAAAAGTCATGGGAAGGGTCATTTGATATTATTTAATCCAACTTCCACCTTGAACAGTGGGAGAGCAATGAAATGACTTTCCAAGATTCCATTATGAGTGAGGGGCCAAACCCATCGTGTGTCCTTCTGATACTTTCCTCTTGGTATCAGCTACAAGTAACAGAAGAGCATACTGAATAGTTCTTAAACAACAAAAAAATTTGTTTTCTTACATAGTAAGATGGAGTAATGAGGCTCTAGGGTTGATTAGAGTCTCAGTCATGTTATAAAAGATTCAGTCTCTTCCATTATTCTCTTTCTGCTCTGCCATTCTTGAAGTGTTAAAATTTGACCTCAAGTTTGCCCTCTCATGATTTCAAGATGGCTTTAAGCATTTTATCTGCACACACCATCAACCAAAAGCTGGAATAAAGCCTGACCCATTCTTGACACCATTTTTTTGATTGGCAGTCCCATCAGAACCATGTGGAAGGAAGAATGAAGATGAACCACATGGAAGGAGTATGGAGAACTTTCCCAGAATCCTAGAAGATTTCTTCTCATATCTCATTGGCTGGAATTGCACCAATCAATAGCAAGGCAACGTGATGTACTGTGATTGGCTTAAATCAGTGGTCTGCATACCTCCAGGGATCCAAGACCATTTTAGGGGATCTGCAATGTAAAAAATATTTTAATAATAATAATAATAATTTTTTGCCGTTTCCATTATAATATGACTTTTCCACTATATTGACTATTGCTGGTGGTTCAAAATCAATGGTAGATAAAAACGGTACCTTATTGTGACTCAAAGTAGTGGTATCAAAATATATCAGTTTCAAAAAAGCCAATTCCACCTATTCCTTGATGAAGTGGCAAAAACTTTGATATTACTGAATTACAACCTTTGAACACATGTTTTAAATATTAAGCATTAGAGCACTTCTGCTGCAAACCAGGACAAAACAACCTGTGTGGTGATTGTCTCAAGAAAGAGCACTTTTGCATTTGTTTGTGTTGCCATCTAGACTAACCATTTTTTCCCCCCACCATTTTTACTGGAAAGAACAACTGTCAGATAAGCTATGTTATTCAGACTTGAGCATTTGGCAGATATTCTCTTAAAAATGAACAAAGTCAGCCTGTCACTTCAAGGAAAATGACTAACTAATCAACAAAATGAAAAGGCACCTTACAGATTGGTAAAACATATTTTCACACCATGTATCTGTTAGATATTTAATAATCCAAATTTTATAAAGAACTTGTGTAACTCAACTGCAAGAAAACATTAGATCAGATTAAAAAATGGCCAAAGGATGTGAATAGCTGTTTCTCCAAAGAAGATATAAAAATGGCCAACAGGTACATGTATGAAAAGATGCTCAACGTCACTGTCAGGGAAATGCAAGTGAAAACCGCTATGAGCTATCAACTCATCCCTGTTAAAATGGCTGTTATCCAAAAGGTAAGAGAGAACAGGTATTGGCAAGGTTGGAGTGAAAAGGGAACCTTTGTACACTCTTGGTGGGAATGTAGATTAGTGCATCCATTATGAAAAACATTATGGGGTATCTAAAGAAATTGAAAATAAAATTACCATTTGACTCAGAACCTCCTTTTCTAAGTATATACCCAAAGGAAATGAAATGACCACCTCGTAAAGATATCTGCACTCTCATGTTCATTGCAGCATTATACATAACAGCCAAGATGTGGAAACAATGTAAGTGTCTGTCATAGACCAATGGCTAAAGAATCTGAGGCATATATTATTCAGTTTTAAAGTGGAGGAGGCCAGACACGGTGGTTCGCACCTGGAGTCCTAGCACTTTGGGAGGATGAGGTGGGAGAGTCACTTGAGACCAGGAGTTGGAGACAAGCCTGGGCAACATAGTTAGACCCCCATCTCTATTGAAAAAAAATTAGGCCAGGTGCGGTGGCTCATGCCTGTAATCCCAGCACTTTAGGAAACTGAGGCGGACAAATCACGAGGTCAGAAGTTTGAGACCAGCCTGGCCAACATGGTGAAATCTGTCTCTACTAAAATCACCTGAGCTTGGGGGTGTCAGGGCTGCCTTGAGCTATGATAACACCACTGCACTCCAGCCTGGGCGACAGGGCAAGACTCTGTCTCAATCAATAAATAAACAAATAAATAAATAGACGTAAAGCTGCCACTGTGTTCTTGACAACTTCCCAAACCTGAAAGACCTATGTTTAGAATGGTAGTGATGGAAATAAATGTGTTTTTTTGATATTGTATAATGAAACACATCAACATTAGATCTGCATCCTTCGGTAAACTGATGTCTTCAATGACCAAACCGTGATATTACACAGTCATGCATGGATAAAAATTTCAAAGTTCAAGAAAGAGCAGTAGATTTTAATGTAACAGATATGAAAAGCTTAGTGATTGGATTTCTGATTCAACATGACAACTAACTGCTAAGAATAAATCACCTCTTAGGCTCTTGCTGTCCAGTGCATAGGGAGGAAAAGCCAGGAGAGGTCACAGTGAGAAGCTGCCACCTGCAGACTGGAAAGAGAGCCTCTCCAGAAACTGGCTCTGCTGGCACCTTGATCTCAGACCTTCAGCCTCAAGAACTCTGAGAAAATAAAT